CTACCGTGAGCCATAGTTAATTATGAGTTTTGAACGAACTGGAACGAACTGGATTGTAAATAGGTTTACTAACGTGTACCATGCTATCGAATTATTATTTCCATTTTTGTTTTATCCTTGCATGATTAGCGATAAAATGCAGAAAAATGATTGGTTTCTGGTTCCAATTCTTTGAAATGAGTGATGACCATAAGTATGCTATGGTTTACTGTGTAGTTTCGAACGAAAGGAAACGGTTTAGATCATGTACATGTGTACTTGTGCAAATCATTTTATCAAAGGAACATTTCCATTTTGTTTTATTACTAAATCAAAATTGACTAAATGAAAAGACTTATATGAAAAAAAAAAATAGAAAAAAGAAGCCAAAAATGAAAAAAATGAAATTTCTTTCATGAGAAAAAAAAATTCATGGAACTTTCCCACGAAAACATGGAACTTTTTTAAAATTGTAAAGTCTAAATGCCGTACAAATTTGCATAGATATTTATTCATTATCGATAACAATCATATTAGCCATATCTTTAAGTTATCTCTTAATGATTCATCATATAATTCAAAAGAAAAATAATAAGTAAAGTGATATACATGTGTTGAAAATAGTTCTCGTCTACATAGGTAATTAGATGACTAATTAATTGGCCGGAATTCATAAATGTGGTCGTCTCTTTTTTTGGTGATTAAATTATCTGATATGTTTAAACAAATTTCAACAAGATTGAAGGTGCAATAGAAGTAATAGAGTTTATTTTAAAATCTTCGATTTACCAATTAGATGACACATACCTTTGCCTTTTGTATATTAACCGGCAAAGATGATCAAACATAAATTACATAAAACATTAAATTTGATATTGTTTCAATCATGAGAAACGTCAAAAAAAAAAAAACAGTATAGGGATGTATAATTTGTGATTTATTTTCGTATTATCAATTTCATTTTTCAATTTTTTGTCATAAATTTCACTCAGTTACTCCTTTTTTTTCCACTTCCAATTTAATTTGCGACAAATTGTCATTTCGGCTAGACGCATCTTTTAATCGTTGTTGTAATAAAACCGGAAAAAATTTGAATAGAATAAATTTTGCAATAATTAAACATATGCAAAATTTTATTTATTTATTTATTTTTTTAATCAAACATACGCAAAATGCAAAACTTTTATCAAACATCTGCAAACTACCTATGGTCAGATTCTATGAAATGGAAAATTTTTACTTTATTAAATAAGCATATACTATTTATTGGAATTTAATCAATATTAATTATCACAATTATCTTGGAAATTATTTGTAAAAAAAAACTAGTTGGTACTACCATAAAACCTTATCAGTTAATATTTAAATTACTGACATTACTTCTTCTAACATGAAAACTACTTCATTTATCTATCGCTTTCAGCGTAATTGTCCATTTGTCACCCTTGAACGGAATTAAAACTACAATCATTATACCATTTCAATAACATTATTCGCTAATACAAAATTATTATTGTCATATCATTGCAATGATATTGTACGCTAATGCAGAACTATTACCACCATATCATTCGTATTATTATTATTATTATTATTATTATTATTAAAAGTAGGAAATTATTATCACTGTATCATTTTAATGTTATTATTTGCTGATACAAAATTATTATCACCATATTATTTCAATCAAATATGGGAAATTTTCTTTATACAAAATCATTATTATCATATAAAAATTATTACCATTGTTTCATCATCACAATTGTTATCATTATTATTATCATCAAAATTATTGTCATTATTTTAATGAAATTAGAAATTTTCTTACCTTTAATATTATTATTAACTAATAATTTTTTTTGACCTTTTTTTTTCGAAACTATTAACATTAAATCATTGCAATGATTGCTGATACAAAACTATTATCATTATATCATCGTAATACTATTGTTAGCTAGTACAACGGGGAAAAAAAAAAAGCTTTTTTCTTGTTCTTTTTTCTGCTTTATCAATCAGTTCAGCTGATAAAATAATACTTTATCAAACAATTTAACTGATAAATCAATACTTTATCAATTAGTTTAGTTGATAAATCAATACTTCACCAACTAGTTTAGTTGACAAATT